GGAAATGGTACAAGATTACAGTGTCTATCCAAGAGGAAGGAGCTGCTTCAGTGCCTCAGTTTACTATCCTTTTCACAAATTGAACTTTACTATTTATGAGCTGGCACATAAGACTATTGGTCATTAGGTGTTTTGTATCTTAATTTAAGAACCAAATCCTCACATTTGGAACCCTCTCCCTGAATTCTGTGAGACTGCAGAGCTCGACAGTAGCTACAGCATAACAGTCTGTCGCAAGTGTATTGGGGGTTTCAGTTTGCCAGACCTGTCATCATAAATTAATGACAGGATGTTGCAAGAATGGCAAAGCTCCAGCACCATCTTGCAGTTTAATATAGCCCCATTTCCCCATTTCAATGTATTTGTGGTTAGATAAATCCTCAGAAATTTACAGCTGCTGCAGACTAGTTTATTATACTCTCTGCCTGCGCATGTGATAAGTGTAATAAGAATTTGATGTTCTTTTAGTGCATAGATTTTACTGATATTTCTTTACCGCTTTGGAAATCATGAGCTGCTGAAGCTTCCATCTGTATATATATATATATTATATATATGTGTGTGTGTGTATTTAATACATAATAAACATATATACTATGGTTTAGCAGCATACATTTTGAATTAAAATGAAAAAAATGGTGAATTTTTAAAAAAGTAGGTTATATGAAGCAATTGGATATGAAATCACCAAGATCACAAAGATTGTGGATAGGGAAAACAAAAAAACAACTCAACCTACTGAATTTGGTCTCAAAATATGAAAAACTGAACTGAAGCCCTCAGACTTTTCTCCAGGGAACCTTCTTCCTTTCGTCTTTTAACCACTTTTCACAAGCTTCAGTTACCCATTTTAGTTCTGACAACAAATTAATATTTTCTTCAACTTCTCACTTTCCTTCTACTTCATCTTTGACTATATTTTGGGAGTGGGCTTGTTTTAAATCATGCTGATTTTAAACAACATAATTTTAAGTTAGTAATGTGTTTTTACTCATGTTGTTAACCATTCCTGAGCGCGTGCACACACACACACACACACACACACACTGTCCAAAAAATTTTTCATAGCTTTTAGTAAGTGTTAATGGTGATTAAACAAACCTATAAATTAACTCTTACTTGCCCTGAAATATTTAAGTGATGCTTCTCTGATTCAATTCCCAGTGAATGAGTTCAGGCTCCTCCAAGTGTTGGCTACTGAAAAGATTGCTGAGGTTGGAAAAATACTATTTCAATACCATAGCCAGAGGATCTTGGGTTTACAGTTCAAATGGACCCTAAGATCCCCTAATTCAACCCCCTTATTTTATGGAGGATGTAACTGAAGCTCAATGAGGTTAAGTGACTTGCCCAAGGTCACATACCTAGTATCAGAGTTAAGAGTTTGAACTGAATTCTTTCATTCCAAAATTCAAAACTACCTTGCTACACCATACTTTAATTATGCTAGAAATAAATAATTGGGACCAGCAAAAACAAAAACAAAAATAAAAATCAGTTTGATGCTAGCAGGAAGCTAATTATACACATAACGATACTGGCGCTATATAACGGATAGAGAACATGTATTATACAAAGAATGAAAATTTTTCATTTCAGTTGAAGCTCAAAGCTAGGAATGAAAGCTATGAAATTTTGAAGCAAAATTATATTCTCCAACTGTTTTAAGATAATGAAAAAAAAATCTATCCACGGTACTTAAAGCCTCAATGGAGTAAGGGCTTTTTAGCATAAATCAAGAGAAGGAACTTTTGAAAATGCAGTTTATGACATATATGTTTGCAATAGGCCAGAACAGAATCATTAGAATAAAAGTATTCTTTGTGTTTACAAAACAAGTGTTTTTGCTTTGTCCCATTTCCCCCCTTACATGAAGTATTTCCTTTTCACCTGAGTAATTAGAGCAGAAGGATGTGATGAATGAAGTGCCTCATTATCAGGTTTGCATCCATGGTCTCTGAAGAATGGCTCTCTCGCTGGCTATTTCTCAGGGCTGTCTGCCCTTGCAGTGGTGGCCCATTGTGAACCCTAAATGATCCTGACATGCAGTTCTCCAGGAGACAATTGGGTCTAGCCAACAGAGGCTTCTGATTGTCATTTTCCCTCGTGTTTCCATTATTCTTTATTTGACTATGATTAGTCTGCTTTTGCCTCTTGAACCAAACATTACTACAAATGTCCTAGATGTACTTTAAAGTAAGGAGAGGGGCAAAAGATATGGGATGATTACAGAAGAATGAAAAAGATGGGCTTCTTTCCCTTCTAGATCAGGTATTTTTCCACAACTCCATAGAATCTCAAACAAGGATAATAATATTCTCTGAAGTTAATATAGTCAGAAGAAATAAAGAAAGGGGCCGAAGAGGTATCAAAAAAGTTGTGTAGGAAATTTACAACTGTTTCCAGCCTCCTTCCATAAACACACTTCATTTTACTGAAATATTTGCTGCTTAAAGGTCAAGGTGCTCTAAATAGTCTTTCCATATATATACATATACATATATATATATATTTTTTTTTTTACTTCCTTAATGCTATCAAAGGCACGCATAACTACATCACTTGAAATGTTACTTTGGTTGTTACTGTTTCCACTAGCATCAACAACAACAAAAACAAAATGTCTATGATCTTCAAGGCTGCTCCAGGCACAGTGCCCACTCTTTGCAGTGGGTTAACTTGGAAGTTGGGTAGCTATTAGTTTGTGTTTTTCAGAAAGGAAAAAGTATGCATTGAAAAGGTGAAAAAAAAAAGGAAATATACTTTAGAGTTATCTTTTTACTAAGAAATGTATTCACTAAGAATTTTTATTATACCAGAAGTGTGCATTAACACTTAGGAAGATAAAACAGCCAAGTTTTAGATTTGGAGGGAAGTTTTCATTTCATTAAGATCCAACTAGGCTGTTATCATCAGTAAAGATGTATGTGGCTCCCCAAATTGAGAGTCGAAAATTTTTCCCATGAATTAAAAAAACATCAAAGTAAACATCTGTGATAAATCATGTGTGTAGAGGATTCCTTAATTTCCTTCCTTCTCAATCCTTTCAATTAATTTTTGAGTACCCATTAATAGCCCAATATTCCTTAAATTTCAAATGATGCCATATAATGAGAAAATTTGTTTGCACAATAATCAGTGCTCCAGACTGACTTCCTAGGAGGGTGGGGTATTTGCATTTAATTTTTTTCTAAGATTATTGAATAATAAAATTGAAGATCTTGACCTAATTATTAATTAAATAATTATGGAAGGTGATGGAAATGTCCAATAACGACAATAATGACGGAAAGGGTCAATGCACAAGATTTCCAAAGTCTATCATATTAGTATTATTTTAAAAAATGGATTTCATATTGTCAATGTGTAGTCCTCTGAATAAGTTTTTAATCTTAGGGACCAGATTTTCAATCTTTTTAAAACATTTGCTTTTATTCTTTAGTCTAACAAGAATCTCAGAAAAAAAACCCATTCAATAAAACTTCATAAGATCATGGAACGAGTTTAGGAGGAAATTTAGTCCAACCTCATTTTACAGATAAGAAAATAGAGGTGCAGTGAGGGTCAGACAAGTAGGAGTAGCACAGTCAGGTCCTGAGACTCCTAAAATCAGTGATATTGGCTGCCTCCCTGGAAAACTCCAACATTGAACAAATCCTATTCTTTATCAGAAGGCTTAACAATTGTGGGCCAAGTAATTGAGGAGCCACAGTTTGGAGGAGACAGGATAGAATGGTGCCAAAGCCTACTTTCTAAGCAGAGAAAGAATAAACAAACCAATAAAAGATATTATAAAAGTCAACATTTTTAGAATGAAGATGAAACAAATATAAAATGTTTGTTGCTAAGAATATCTCTGGTGCCATATTTATTGCACTTCAAATGCACTCTCTTATTTCTCTCCTTAATTATCATTTGGATTTGTGCCTCAGAAGGCCTAGTTACTGCTATTCCCTTTTCTGGAAAGTGTGGCAAAGCTGTTTAATTCAGCTTCAGAGCCTTGAACATAATTGGAGCCTGCATCTGCTAGCATGAAAAGGGGAGTTGTGCCTTTGATTGGGACCAACTCTCCATGGCATTTAACTCAAGTGTTACTTGTCTTCAGTAGCCATAATACAAAATGCCATTTTATAGTACTTTTCAGAAGGAATACAGTACATACAGTCCTGAGAGCTTGGCACATGCTCAGGGCTCCCTTAGTGGAGAGGCTGATGTCACTTGTATCATTTTTAAACTTGCTAAATAGTCAAGAGTTGATGTTAATTAAAAAAAAAATCAGAAAAGCCACAATAGACAGCCTTCGATTATGAACTGCCAACTGCCTTGAAATTCCAGGATGTAAAATTCTTTTAAAACATCTAGTGTGTTTATACGATAAAAATATATGAGAGCCTTAATATCAGAGGCCTTTGGGCCTGGATGGATCTAGTTCTTCTTGAAATGTGCATATGTAACAATGAGAATAACACGATCTTTACACAAACCAGAACTGGCTTTGGATCTGACAGCTTGAGAGCAACTAAAGAAAAATGGCTTTGTTTTTAAAGAGTTCTGCAGAGCAGAGACATGTTTACCCACTTTCATGCCTTCCAAACATGTGCAGGGATGAGAGCTGAATGTGTTTACTAGATTATATTGTATGCAGTGGTTTACGTCTGGGCAAATTTTACACTTCAATGCCCAGAACTGTTTTTCTCACTTCTTTGTTTCATGGAATCAATTGTCTGATCTACCAAATAAGTTCTTCTAATTTTATATTTATTTTTGCACTTTTTGAGGGAGAACTGGGGTTAAAAATTTTCCTGGTAGACTAATTTTCTCAAGAAAAAAGAGTCTGCTGGGAAAAAAAATATCAAGAGAAAAATGATTAATTAATATCAAAATAAAACATTTAATGATATATTACTGAAATCATTATTCTTATAATAATGCAATAAAATAATTAAAACAAATATTGAGATTAAAATTAATATCACTCAACATATGTCTACATAGCCTTCATACACTTGAATATGAAATATTTTCAACTGAATGAGTCTAGAACATTACTGCAAGGTCAGCCAAAACAAATGAATGTTATATTTTTTAGTCTGTGTTTACAAAGTAAACATATCTTCATTTAAAACAAATATAAAAAAGTAACACTCAGAAGTGCACATTTCCTTTAAATAGTTTTCTTGTTTTAAGATGTGATAATTCCTTAGGAATTCCAAATACACAATTCTATAATATGGATTTATTAAAAAAAAAAAAAGTTAAATTGCAAAGTGGAATCACCACAGTTTTTAGTGAATCTTATAAATTGGCATATTACCCATGTGCAAATCTATAGAATTGTTAAACAACATTTACCCCATCGATATAAATTGTGTTTTTTTCCTTTGTGTCTGGTGAACAGCAGTGATATTATTCTTTATTGATTTGCCAACAGGAGCAATCCTGATGCAATCACTAATAAGTACCAAGAGTTGGACGGCCACTATTATACAGGTTTCAAACCATCAGACTCCAAGGCCCCATTCATTTCCTTGGCCATCTTTGAGGGGGTTAGAGCTCTTTTGGGGCTCTTCTTTGTTTCTGCTCTAAGAACAAGTCTGGATTCACCTTCTACCTGAGCATTCACATCTGGAATTTCTGAAGGACGAAGAGCCATTTCATTTAGTTTGGATCCTGTCATCTCATTCTTCTGAAGTCTTTTCTTCTTTCTTACTTCTCTATTAGAGAGAAAGAGAAGCAAAATTAATAAATCCTTGGAGCTTGTCTTCCTAACTATCATAAAGCCGGGGCTTTGTTTCCTCAGGTAACAGCTGAGTGGGCTGGTAAGAGAATTGGAAACCATTTCCTATGGGACCCAAAGAAGTTGGGCAAATAGGACAAAACTTGTCAATGGAATCTGCTACAGTGATTTTCTAACATCCTTTCACAGTGCTGGTTTATTCGTTTTGTATTGATTACAATATACCCTGTGCATAGTAGGTGCCTAATTAATGTTGGCTATAACAAATTAGTCATTAAAAGAACAAGCAGTTGTTTTGGTTCAGCTCCTACAATGACAAAGAAATAAATGCAATAAAGACCAGTGTTCTTCAAACACAGGCACTATAGGTGGCAGGTGCCTTGGACCTCTTCTAAGAATCCAAGGCATCCATTTTCAACTTACCTAATGCTTCATTTCCTGGAGGTGGGGTGGGGTGGGGTGGGGTGGGGTGGTGGTGATGAAGAAATAGTCAAGGCAGTAACTTGTACCGAATGTGATATTTCAGATTTGCTTATGGAAAGCATATAAACCACCTTATATATTCCTTGAATCCTTTCTTTTAAGGCCTTCTGTTGGGCAAGAATTTACCAGTCATTGACTATGTATACTTGTACAACTGGTTTGACAATAATGAATGTCAAGGCAAAAAAAAATTTTTTTTGATTGATATTTTTTGCTGACAGCTGCTGTGATGGTTGAAATTCTGGGGCATCTAGACACAACTCAGATCATAAAATGAATCATTTAGACCAGAAAATCAAGGTTTCCATATGGAATGGGAGCTAGAAGCTGCTTCCCTGGAGAGTGTTATTTGCAATAACCAAAGAAGGATTGAAGCTGAGTTATATGTTGTTGGACTTGAATTCAGCATGATGTGAGTTCAAATCCTGCCTCAGACTCTAGCTCAAGTCACTTCATTCTTCTCATCTTTGGTTTTACCATTTGTAAAATGGAGAAAAATAAACAGCATCTACATCAGAGTTGTTGTGTGGATCAAATGACATAACATATGCAAGGTACCTTGCAAACCTTATGAAAGTATTGAATATTATCCTATTAAAGGGCTATCCGAGTTTCAAAGAATTAAATGTATAATTTACTTCTGAAACACTCTCAAAAAATGGAATAAGGGTATGGTTGGAAAAACTTGTTTTTGATTCTTTCAAGCAAGAAAAGGCTGATAAATTTGTAACATGTTAGGCAGCTAGGTGGCACAGTGGATAGAGCCCTCGACCTGGGATCAAGAAGACCCAGATTCATATCCAGCCTCAGATACTTACTAGCTATGTGATCTTGGGAAATTCACTTAACCCTGATTGCCTCAGTGTCCTCTTCTGTAAAATGAGTTAGAGAAGGAAATGACAAACCACTCTAGTATCTTTGCCAATTGTGACCCAATGGGGGTCACAAAGAGTTGGACATGACTGAAAATGACTAAACAACAAGAAAACAAAAGAGTGGTGGCAGCAGATACAGTAGACATGCACAACTTGGCAGTACGTAGAGGCCAAAATTAAAATAGGCTAAACTTTGGGCAGCAGAAAGGTTAGATTAGAGATAGATGGTTGGTTGCGATGGGTCACACGACAAACAGAAGAGTGTGCAGTTTCAACCCTACATTTTTCCCAGGTTGCCCAAAATCCTTTGGCAGGTCGCAAGTAGCCCACAGGCCATATGTTATGGAGGCCCAAGCTAAAGTAAGATGGTGGACCTGATACTTGACTATGTTGACATTTCTAGAGAAAGTAATGAACAGCTTTGGGATGTAATGAAAACAGGGAAATAGACATGTCAATGAAATTGCAACTTGGGGAACTATGGAATAACCATTTACAAGGTGCCTTCTACTTTGGACACACATGGATTAGAACTGGTATAAAGAGCCATCAGTAATGCTTCAAGCGATATTTTAAGGATGGCTCACGAAAGTGTTTCTGATTGGCATGTGCCCAGTGAAGTGTTAGAGCTATAGAAAAGTAGGGGAAGTGGCATTCAGGAAGTGTTGTAAGGGGCTTAAACATATTTTCCATTAGTTCACGGCAAAAAGTTAATGTGTAACTATTAGGAAGGTGATTTATATCTAAGACAAAACAAAATAAATAGGTAAGCATGAAGATAGGTTTAGGGAAGCAGGGAAATATATAGACAACATAAACAGAGTCCATGGAATTCTGAATTTGGAGGTCAAATCCTTCCTCTGATTATACTTGCTAGCTTTATGACCATGGACAAATCACTTAACCTCTCTGGGTCTCAGTTTCCTCATCTGTAAAATGACGGAGTTGTACTAGATGGTTCTAGATCTGTGATCTTAGGGGCTTGCAAACCTAATTCTTGGCTTTCTCATTTGTATAATTAGGACAATAACACCTGTAGTATCTACTTCATTTAAACTCAGTAACCTCATGATATTAATGAAATATGAAATAAAGGGGGAATGCTTAAATACAAAGAAATGGCAAATAATAAATAGGCATATTAAAAAAGTTGAAGTCGGGGCAGCTAGGTGGCACAGTGAATACAGCACCAGCCCTGAAGTCAGGAGGACCTGAGTTCAAATCCGGCCTCAGACACATAACATTCACTAGCTATGTGACTCTGGGCAAGTCACTTAACCCCACTGCCTAACCAAAAAAAAAAAAGCTGAAGTCAAAGAATGTTAGAAATCAGTGACCACAACTACTATTTAATAGGGATTATAAGATAAGAATTGTGGGGCTCAAATGAGATACATTTATAAAGCATTTTGCAAACCCTAATAACTTTACCTAAATGTCAACTATTATTATTATGTGAAAGCAGCCCAAAGTATGAGGATACTTCAAGTAAGAATGAGGGAAAGAGGCAGCAGAGATTGAGGTAGATATTCTGGCTTCAGTTCAGCCAGGCATATTAGTGCCTGTAGAAGCTTTTTCCATGTTTGCTATGCTACTTCACCATGGTGGTGGTGGTAGGGTTGGGCATGAAGGGGTGGACTAGATGGTATGGTCCCTCCCAACTCTCACATTCTACTACTCTATACAGAAATCTACCAATCTTTTTAAAGGAAAGTGAAGGTAAGAAGAGTCTTGGAGGAAGAAGGCAAAACAAGACAAGGAAGAGTTTAAGGTAGTGGTAGGCTGAAAAAGGAGAAGAAAAACAAAAAGGAAGGTGAGAAAGCTGCTAGAAATGAGAGATGGATCCTGCACCAGCCAAAGACACAGGACAAATTAAGCTAACCAGGGGGAGAATTACATTGTGAGAGGGAGGAAGTAGAGGGAGAGGCCAAAAGAACAATTCTAGTAGAGGAAACCTAAGGAGTAATCAAAATCCTAAAGAGAGCAGTAAAGATAAGAACTTTACGGGAAATGATTCAGACCTAGAAGAGGAAGGAACCCAGAAATGAGGGAGCGTAAGAGAGACCACAATCTTCTAAGGAATCAAAAGGAGAAGAACTAAAAGGAGAGAGTAAACGGAGCCAGAGCAAGCCCGTGTAAGCCCCATTGCTTTCATTCATCAATATAAGAAATGCATAACTGAAACACAGGCATATTTAATCCTAACAGCCACATGTTCCATAAGAGGAGAGATGAGGCCAGGGAACTTTGACAGAGGAAGAAAATCATGGGATGGGATCTTATAAACTGAAGAGAGGAATTTTTAGTGTGATAAGACTCTCTAACTCCTGTTGGTTAACTGGGGCAGAGAGTCACACAAGGGTGGGTTTTATTCAAGACCCATAAATTATAGAAAGAACTAGGTGGAGTGACATGACAATGGATATGAAATATAGTGTTGGAAAAAACTAGACTCATTGACATATATTCTCCCTCCCCCATGTTCCCCACAAGAAAAGGAAAAGGAAAACTAAGTGGCTGGGCCTTAGAAAAACATACAAGAAAGAAAATAGTAGAGAGGCAGGTTTCATTCATATCTTAGGAACATGTGTTAGATCAGAAAGAAATGAGGCATATTATACCAACTTTTTTGAGTCTACCTATAAAAACCTGAATACAGGGAAATATTGCCTTGAAATACAAGTCTTTCAGACCATTCACTGATAAAAATAAAACCCATAAATCATCTTGGGAAAACATTGTGCAGAGGACTATATGAATGAACTTGGTGTCAAAGAAGACATTAAAAGGATGGTCAGATGGGTAATACGAGGGCATTTTCCTCTCTAACTTGTTTGATGGTGGTGGCAGACAGAAAACTAGCATGAAAAAGACACAAAGAAGTAAAAATTCAAGACATATTAAAGGAAACTATAAAAATCAACTGAGAAGTAAAATAGAGAATATTAATAGGTGAGAGGAGACAAAGGTAAAATAAGATTCAAAAAAATAAAGGTTCCAAGTAGATAAATAATCAAAGGATATGAATAAAATTTTTTCAAAGGAAGTTTCAGACCTAGAAGAGGTCAAGGGAATGGAATGAAACCACAGATTTTCTTCATCTGAAAAACTGATTTCTAAGAATTAGTGAGGTTAAAGTCAAAGAGGGGATTTTTGTGGGTCCTCAGACAAGGGAAGTGATGGAAGATGAATATTTTGATGAACAACTGAATGAAATGAAAGGCATTGCATGAAAAGCATTTTAAACAAAGACAAAAAACTTTCTGGGAAACTACAAAAGCAGAAAATTACAGAGAATTTGTTAATGATCTTCCCATAGGCTATGAAGTTATCAGCTGTCACTATAGATCCATTTTTTTCTGCTCTATTGGTCATCAATTCATCCACCCAACCGCCTTTCTCTTTGCTTTTGCGTTCTGCTTTTTTAGTCAGCTATGGATTCCTCCCTTCCCTGGTTCCCCTCTACCTGGTGTTGTTGTCGTTGATGAATCGTTTCAGTTGTGTCCAACTCTTCGTGACCCCATTTGGGGTTTTCTTGGCAAAGATACTTAAGTGGTCTGCCATTTCCTTCTCCAGCTCATTTTACAGATGAGGAAACTGAGGCAAACAGGGTTAAGCA